AGGAAGGTGTTTCTGAAAACTGTGAGCTTGAGATGTGGGTTCTGGAGGCAGAGATGAATTGAATGAATCCAAACCAAATAAAACTAAAATAGCTGTATTCTGAGGAGCATGTTGTTGTCTGGCTGGGAAAGCTCTTTCAAAGGATGATCTTTATTCTGGTGTTGATAATTGAAATGCTTACTTGCATCTTCTTCATTCTGGTTGACTTTATTTTGGAAATCACCTTTTAAAAAACCTCTTAATTTTTAAAAACTTCTTAATCACTTTTAAACAGCTACTTATTTTTTTGAAGCAAGTTGCTGCTCTGGTGATGTGGCCTAAAACAGTGGCACAGTCTGGTCTCTCACTAGCTTTGGAGTTTCTGTTTCTTTACTGTCTTGCTTCTCAAGCCTCCACTGTAGCTATGGAGTAATCTTGGATTCTGCAGGGGGCACTGTGCATTTTTGAAGGGGTACCCTTTAAGGGCAGTTGTGAATTTCTTCCTTCCAGAGTATCCACTGCTCCCCTTATTCAGTTTGCCTTTGCTTTAGTCTGAGATTTAATTGTACTCAGATCTAACTGACAGGAGCCTTTCCTGTAAGTAAGGATAGTTCAGCGTTGACAGCTGTCTGTCAGGAATGACTTGGGTAAAGCCACTCTGGGGCAAGCAGATAGGAAATGATCTCTGTTGTCCTCTTACAGAATGGCAGACTAATCCATGTTGGAGGTTTTTTTTTTTTCCTTTTTTTTCCCCTTATTTTGTGATTTGACAGGTGGAGCATTGGTCAGTGACAGTACAGCAAAATAAAATGTGTTTGTATCCATGTGTTTTGCTGTCTGATAGCTTTCCCAAATTCCTGCTATGCAATGCTCTCTCTTTCCATAGGTGGGCAGCATGTTCATAGCAGACGCTGATGAGAAGATCTCAGTCCAGTAAGTGCACAGATGTTAGTTACACAATGAACTGGCCAGAATGATCTGCTTTGTCACAGAGCTGTTCTAATGTTGCAAAGCAAAATAGAGGGGCAGGTCCTCCTGTAGCTAAAATGGTACCAGACCCCTGCAAACTGGGCATACTCCCTTCAGTGAGAACAGTGCTGCAGGAGGAGCCACAGCTGATTTGCTTGAAATGAAATCTATAAAAAACCCCAGTGGTTTTTGAGGGATTTATAACATAATAGGCACATCAGAGGTGGCACATGGGAAGTGATGATTCATGCACTCTTGTCCCCACCAAAATGTTTTCTAAATCAGGGGGGCAAATGATAAGTATGAGGGGGTTTGGTGTCTGTAGGAGCACTCTGCCTTTAAAAGAAAGGACTTTAAAGGG